TTGGAAAACAGCAAATAAGTGGACTTGGATACTGTCTCTGGCAATCACTGGCACCTGTTTGCCCCCAGCAAGTGTCCTTTGCAATACCCATTACATGGGAAAATAAACTTGAGCTAAGAGGGATTTAAGTCATCACTCAAGATCTACCAGTCTTCAGCCAGTGCACTTCCTCAGGAGACCCTCAATCATTTTCAAACAGCTGCCCAGGATAATCTTCCTAACCTACTAGTTCTATTCAACCATCTTCTTAGCTGCAGAGCCTCAGCAGTGCCCCCAGTACTGAGCCCAGCACTGTAGGTTGAACTCACATCTTAACTTCCTTAACCATGAACCAGCCAAGTAACCAACCCTAACCCTAGCCCCAGCCCATTCCACAGTGTTCTATGCATTGTCAGAGGCTTCTGCAAAATTCCCTCCAAAGGCTTCTTTATCTACTACCAAGGCCAGCTCAAATTCCAGCCCCGTCATTTTTACAGTCATCCCAGTTTTATACAGCACAGGCCTCTACCTACTCTGACGCTCTTGCATACCTATTACCATATTCTCTATTTCACCTACAACCTGATTCTGCTTTCCGGTGTCTAATCTCTGTTTTCTGAGTGTCTGGCACACAAAAGGAGGTTCAATAAAGGTTAGCTGAATTAATTAGCAACTGAATGACAGCAGATCGTGGAAGATTCTGTAAGACAGTGGAAACAATGGCAAGCAGTCCCAAAATAAGACAGCATTGCTTCACAATGGCTGACAGTGAGGATGTGTACAAGAAATCCTCCCCACCCACCAAAGGCTCTCTTCAGCAGCAGACCACGCTGGGACACTGAACTGTGACAGCCACAGTCTTAAGAATGAACTGTGTTGTTAGTGTGTATGTTTCAGGAGTCCCCTTTGGGAATCCCCTCTCGTTTGCAGGACTCCATAAAGAGAAAAATGTAAATAAGAGAATCATTTAACCTGCCATTGCTCTGCTGCATTAAGCTCTTTTAAATCTCTTAATAATTATAGTCAGAACAAAGAGAGGAAGACAGAACTCATTAAGAATAACGAGACTGGTGACAGGAAATACAACGACGGTACGAATCACTGTGCACAGCGCACACACAAACCCCCGTTCCCTGCCTGTACTAGAGGAAGATACTAATTATGCCTCTGGCAAGAGACATGTGGACCCTTTCAAAGCAGCTATTTAAAGATAAATACACGGCAGGCAGGCAAACACTTCAGGCCCCGCTCCAATGTTCATTCCCCCTTGCTTTCCTTGAGCAGTTCTAGGGCATGACATTAAATAGAAAAGCAAAGAGCCTTGCCAAACTTGGCTGATAGGTCTCTTAGTGCCTTCAGACACATTTTTCTTTTAATCTCTAAAGCTTTTTAACCCAGAATGACTAGCTGATTTGTCTACATGTCTGCAGTAATCCCAATATTGATGGTATAGGTACCTTCAATGTAAGGTTTTGTTGAAGACACTTAAGGAAATTTCCAGGAACAGGTATGGCTAGGGTTCTTGAAGCATCAGGGATAGGTTTAGAGAACTCCATTTACTGTCCTTCCCATTCCTCCACCACTTACTCTCTCCCGCATTCCAAAATAGCACAGAAACTACTGAAGATGATAAACTGGGCTGGACAAATGAATGACCTGTAATCCTTAACCAGAAACAACACAGGGTCTCCTTCCTGCAGCCAGGCGTTCTGTAATGAGCTTATTAGAGGTCACTCATGGATTAGGACTCACTATGATCTTCAGGCTCAATATGGGGGTTTTGGGGGCTCTGACAGGATGCATTTGTTTTGAAATCAGCACCAAAAAAGAAGTCAAAGTATAGAACTAAGAACGTTAATCGGGGTCCCAATTGTGAACCATGCCTGAAAAGAGTTTAGCAGAGGCTAAGATTCTGCTGAGGATATACATCATCAGCTGTTAATACCAGGGTTACAAATGTGAGAATTAGACAAATTATGAGACAGGTACAAAACAGAACAGTGATAAACTCTAAAACAGTTATTAATACAATACCAACAAGTACCACATATGCACAGAGAAGGTTTGTTTAGCAAATATTCACAAAGACACCATGTAATACTGGTGAGCTCTGGGAAAAGGAGGTTATTTTAATTCTTTACTATTGGTATCCCAAGAAAAATGAGATATTTTAATGACTCTCCCCACCCCCTCAAAAAAGTTTACCTCTTTTTCTGAACATAAAATTTAAAGAGAATTATTAAGGTACACATTAAAGCCAAGCACTGATGGCTCACACCTGTAATCCTAGCCACTCAGGAGTCTGAGATCTGAAGATCACAGTTCAAAACCAGCTTGGGCAGAAAAGTCTCCTTGAGACTATTATCTCCAATTAACCACTCAAAAAACGGAAGTGGACCTGTAGCTCAAAGTGGTAGAACAAAAGTGCTCAGAGACAGTGCCCAGGCTCAAGGTTCAAGCCCCTATGATTAACCCCTAAAAGTGAAGTACATATTAAAGGGATCATTTATATAACCTTTGTATTCATCGAAAGGCAGGTTATAATCATCTCTAATTTTGCACTAAAATTCGCTATCTAATCGATTTACTTTTCCAAGCATCTGTTGCTATGGATCTGTACTACAAGGTCAGATCTCACAGACATATTGGAAAGTTAACATGGTTCTCAATTTTAATACCTCAGATCCAAAACCTACATGAGAAATGTTAAGAGTCCAATCAGAGTCCTTACTAAAATCAAAACCTGCAATATCATCTGACTCTTAAAATAAAGCTTATGTATAAACTCCGAAGACTCATATTTTTCCAAAATTGTTATACATGCAACGCCTAGGTTTGTTACTTAGACTTTTATTGCTTTTGCCATCACAAAGAATAAATTTGCCTAAAAGAAGATGATTCTCCATGCCTATGATCCTGAAACATCAAAGGTGGGTGCTTGCCATGATTTTCTTTTTGCATCATTTATTTGAAGAGTATGCACATCCCTCCAAACAAGGTCCTCTCTACATCTCCCCCAAACCACCAGAACTGATGGATCTTCTGGACACAGAGACTACTATTTCACAAATCAAGCCAACTATCCATGGCCAAAAATCATTTGCTTGAATAGAGGTAACCAACATAGTTAAGTCATGGTACCTTTAAAAAAAATAAAAATAAAACCTAGCTCAAGATGTGATAAAAAGTCTTGTGAACATCACAATAAAAGTCTCATCACAACAGAGCTTTAATTATTGACTTGAACTTATTTTGTTGATGGTGATACAGGCACCCTGTCAGATTTCTTTGCTTAATTCCTTCTTTGAAGACTTTTATTCCAGTCTCTTTCTACTCTTGGCACCACCCTATCTCAGCTTCACAGCCTACTTGTGACTCTTCTCCCCAGTCCAGCATCCAATCCAGCCCCAGATTGTATTTACTGTAATGTAACTATTCAGTACTTAAAAATATAATGTAGGGGCTGGGAAGGTGGCTCACTGGTAGAGTGCTTGCCTCTCACATGCATGAGGCCTTGGGATCGATTCCTCAGCACCACATAAACAGAAAAGGCTGGAAGTAGCACTGTGGCTCAAGGGACAGCACCAAGACCCAGAGTTCAAGATCACAACTGTGGTGCGCGTGTGTGTGTGTGTGTGTGTGTGTGCGTGCGTGCGTGTGTGTGTGTGTGTGTGTTACAAATAAGTTATATGGGCAGATTTAAGTAGCAAGGACTCGGATCGATTCCTCAGCACCACATAAACAGAAAAGGCTGGAAGTAGCACTGTGGCTTCAAGGGACAGCACCAAGACCCAGAGTTCAAGATCACAACTGTGGTGTGTGTGTGTGTGTGTGTGTGTGTGTGTGTGTGACATATATGTTATATGGGCAGATTTAAGTAGCAAAGACTCTCTACTTCCAGTCACTCTCTTCTCAACCAAACTTATCCAAGGCCATGATTTTCTAGTTCTCCTCCCTATCTAACTCTACCTCTAACACGTAACTTTCTTCCCTCAATATCCTCAAGGACTACCTCAATTTTCTTGACAACTTTGTATTCTCTCTTAGGGAACATGGCTCCACTGAAATCCAAACCTATCCTTCCTTACAAACCTTTCCCATCACCTTGCTCTGTTAGCAGATCCTGTTCGCTTACTTGGACAAATATCCTCACTATTATACTTATAAAAATTTCTGCTGGTTTTTATAACGTACCATAGACTGGTAGGACAGTGAGCTCTCAGCAGGTATGCTTATAGATAGGCCTTGGTTGAAACAAGGAAAGGGCTCATACTCAACTTTGACTTCTCTCACATACAAACATTACCAAAACACAAAGGGGACTTGGGGGAGGAGGTAAGGAAGCCAGGCACTGGTCTCATGCCTATAATCCTATCTACTCAGGAGACTGAGATCTGAGGAGTATGGCTTAAAGCCAGCCTCGGCTTTGGAAAAACCCATAAGAATTCTCATCTATTAACCACCAGCAGACCAGAAATGGTACTGTGACTCAAAGTGGTAGACCACTGGCCTTGAGCAAAAAGAGCTCAGGGACATCTCCAGTCCCCGAGTTCAAGCCCCATGCGGGAAGCTGGGACACTGAGAAGACAGTAGTTCAAGGCCAGACAGGGTAGCAAAGTCCAAGAGACTCCATTTCCAGTTTTTTTGCTGAGCTAGAGATGTGCCTCATGTGGTACAGTACCAGATGTGAGCAAGCCCACAAAGCTCTGAGTTCTAGTCCCAGTAACGGGGGTGGTGAGCATGGGGGGCATGGATAACAACACAAACAAGAAAACAAAAGAAAGAAAATACTACAAACTTTGTAACCACACATTACAAAGCCAAGAAGGGCTAAGTAAAAGTCAAATGAAACCATTACAATATATAAAAACAGCAGCTGGCTTGACCAGTTACCCCTCCTAGTATAAAATTCCTCAAATGTGGCCATGGAACTGAAAAACGAGAAATCTGCCAGGATCCATCCCTATCTACTGTTTTATAGTTCTTTCAATTAGGATGCTCCTTCGACAGTGCAGGCTTACCTCGAAGGCAGAGAAAAGTAAGAAAGTCTTCTGTCTTAGGCTTCCTTTTAGAGAGGTCAGAAATTTGAGTAGCTGGCGGGGGTAGCAAAGGCTCCACTATCTTCACTGGAGTTGTGCTGGGACTATTCGGCTGAGATTGAGCAAACTTCCTTTGTGCTTGCAGCCTGGGCCTGCAAAAGCAAAAGAAAATTAAAACTAAATTAATCACAGACTGGAGGATATGTGCCTACAAGCAGCAATAACACTATAACACATAAGAAAAGGGAGGGGGATCTCTCTTTGATAAAAACTCTTTCTTCCTGAGACTCTCTATATCCCTCATTCTCTCAAAAATCACAGGCTTGCTTTAAAGCACAATAGATTTTGTTAAAGGGCTGGGTTTTATACATGGTTATAAAGTATGCACCGCTACCACATATACATGTTTTTCCTTCAATTGCCATATACACAGTCTACAATGTTTGATGACAGTGGGTTAAGGCTTTCATACTTTGGTTTCAGCCCAAAATGAAGAAGAAAAGCTAATTCTCCTATTGCACTGATGTGGCATCCTGTGTGTTCATCGCACACCATCACAAATACACAATTTCTTCCTTATTGTGGCTTGACACTCAGTCCATTTTTGTCCTCAAACTGCCACATCCCCAGTCTTCTGACCCAAAGCAAGTAGTGTTTCATCTTTAGTCTCTTCTAAATTATGCCACAGGAACACACTACAGTAATTAAAGCATTTAAAATGATGGAGGGTAAAAAAGAAGAAATGTCTCCTTAGTATACTTAAATCCCTAAACCCAACACATTATGGTTAATCCTTTGCCAACAGGGTCAAACATAAATTCCATAAAGATTCAACAGGAGGCCTCTTCCCTACCAAATCCAGTTAGTGTACATGGGGCACAAAATAAATGTTCTTAATGTGATGCTTCTCATCTGAAAACTCTGACATGCAAACCTCTTTTGAACTCTAATGGATCCCAGCTAACAAAATGTAGCCAATAGTAAATTTCCCATTCTCCACAAATAAGTACACTGATAATATATCTGGACATTAAACTAATCTGACATTTAGCTGTTGTCTAATACTGTTTTCCTGAAGTCACAAAAATGTTTAAATGAAAGTAAGCATGTCTAAGGATGAGAATATGCTTACTGTGCTGCTTCTAACTACCCATAGGGACTTGCTCACAGACTGAGGAACTCACAGTGCAGAAGGGCAAGAACACAGCCCCAGAGGAGCTCTATGGTAGAGGGCCATAAAACAGTCTGTCAGAATCTCTAATTACTTCTAGACACTGGGAGAGAGTGACATCACCTAACTCGATTAAATAAAAATTAAGAAATCAGGAATATTTGTAAAGCACAGATACATCTACCTTTACTGTCTTACGGTTAGAAGATTTTGTATAAAATAGCAATTACAACATATTCTCATACCCACAGTAACAAATAATATCCTTATATTAAACAAAAAAATATAGATACAAACATAGATACACCACTTTTACTTTGCAAAACTTAACATCTTGTTTTTGTGGGATGTAGTTTGTTATTTTTGGTGCCATATTAGAACTTGAACTCAGAGCCTGGGTACTCAAGGCTGGTTTTCTGTCACTTAAGCCACAATCTATGGCTGCTTTGAACCTTGATCCTCTCAGATCTCAGCCTCCTGAGTAGCCAGGATTATAGGTGTGAGCCACTGGTGCCCTAGCATCATAAAGTTTAACTTTATACATCCCCTAGAGCCCCCCATAAATATTACGTAGCACAATTTTATGATTATCGCAACGTTATCACTAAAAATGTTTGCTTGCGGAGAAGCATTTTAAACTGCACCTCCCTTCCATACTAACCAGCTTCTACTCCTGCCTCCATGAGGACCTATCGTGAACAGTGTCCAGATCCTATTCCCAATACAAATCAACACTGGATCCAAAGGAGACTACATGGCTTCTCCAGCTACTTCCTGGGCACTAACTCATTGCACAAAGCCATGGCCACACTGCAATGCCCTGGGAGGTAGGTAGAGCAGCCTCCATTAATTTGTTTTTGTAACACCATGACCCTAACTGCCTGTTTCAAAGCAAAAGGCATTTCATTTCTGATTTATAAAAACTGTCCTAATTTTTTATTCAGCTGAAAAGTTTAAGTGGATGATTTCATAAAGTTTTCTAAATGGACACAATTTACCGGGAGTCCCACAGGAATTTCATAGAAATACTGCCTACATGTCAACAGGATGTTAAGTGTTTCCTGCTCTTTCTAAAAAGTCAGCAACAACAAATACCACATATGAGACAACTCTTGCAGCAGCCATAATGAAAAACAAACTCTCTCTCTCTCTCTCTCTCCTTCTCTCTCTCTCTCTGACAAAGGTATTTCACAATTCCAGAACCTCAATAGCTTGAATAAAGGACATTTTTTGCCTCATGACAAGGAGACTCAAGTCAAAGAGATCAGATGGATTAAAAATGTCAGCAAAATAAATTACACCTTAGACAAAAGCCAAGCTTCCAAGTGATTCAGCATTTGTAAGACCCAGAAGAAAACAGAACTGTGTGTCCAGTCGACAAAGGGTAGGTCTGTAATGTGGCTTTTCCTCCCACGTGGATTACAAAGATGTCGACCTTGCTTTACTGATCCTATACAATGGAAGAGCCAAATCCGTGAAGTAAGCAGTGTTATAGTGTAGGTGTAATTCAAGGACTGAAGATCCACTTTAGAATGTCGGCTACAAGGAAATGTGGGGAATCATCAGATGTGCTGAATCTGCATCTGGAGCTGGTAGGAGCAGAAGAGGCAGATTCAAAGTGGGGCACGGGAAGATAGGAACTAATAGACTTGAAGAGAAAAGTGGTTACATGGTCTCCAGACCCACAAGAGAGAACTGTTACCTTCTGCGCCATTTATTTTACCCTCAATACCTAACACCTCCACCAGTGTCACAGTATTGACCCCAGAAATACCACCTCCCCCACTTCACCCAGAGCCAAATGCATTGCCACAAAAATACTGTTTGATCAAAGAGAGGTTCAGTCACAAGGGGTTAGGTGAGTAGATGGTTCCTAGTAGTGAGGGGAAACATTATTATAACAAGGGGAGGGTAAACACAGGCGCTCGAAGCAGTTTCAAATCATTTATTCACTGTTACAAATGTACGTGTGTGTGGTGTGCAGGTATGAATAAAAGGACCACAAAGCTGAAGGTTGGTGGCTCACTCCTGTAATCTTAGCTATTCGGGAGGCTGACATCTGAGGATCCAGGTTCAAAGCCAGTCTGGGGAGGACAGTACATGAGACTTGTCTCCAATTTACCACCAGAAAGCCAGAAGTGGAGCTGTGGCTCAAAGGGGTAGAACACTAGCCTTGAGCAAAAGAGCTCAGAGATAGCACCCTAGGCCTGAGTTCAATCTACACACACACACACACACACACACACACACACACACACACACACGATCGAAGCTAATGGCTTTGGTAATTGGAAGGGTTTTAGCAAGTTCTCTCTAACTGCATAGGTGAATAAACAGAGAAGGGAACATTGTAGGCCTGTTTGTTTTATTGGTTTTCTTTCTTTCTTTTTTTAGCAGAAGCATCTTCATTCTTGTCTCTGCTCAAGACACTTCCTCAGGGAGACAGGATCGCTCTAACATAGTCTATCACCTATGACCAACCACTGAATCTCAAACCATTCGGCTGGTCTTCCCAGGACTCTAGTACAATTCCCTCTTCATGGCCTATTGCTACAAACTGAAGACCAGCCCTCCATAAACGCTAGCACAGAACACTACACTGTTGTGCTAGTTATTATTATGGACTACGCAATCCCTCAGTCATTACATACATCTACCTTACATCTACATTACTGAGAAGCCACACAACTGACTAAGCACATAAAGGGTTTGGGGAACACTACATGGCAATCCAGAGACAGCAAGAACACCCAAGAAATATGGATGTAGATCCAATAGCAGCACGAGACAATGATATGTGGTTCTGATCTAGACAAGCCAGCAGAGCTCTGTCCAATGGTACACTGGAATCTGTTTTTAATTAAGAATCGATGAACTTTCAGCCTGTGTGGTCACAATTTCCATCATCACTTAATGAATAATTACTGAGCCACTAGCACATCATCACCAGCATGCAACCATAGTCAGATTACCTGGAGCTGTATGTGGACCTACAACACAGTACAACACAGTAGTATACAGTACCCTTTAACTACAAGACCTGCAATTACATACCATTTTTCCTCACATAGCATAACAGTCATAGCCGTTATCTGTGGGGCCAGGGAGGAAATTTCTGCCTTGTACCATACAGACAGGACCACGAACCACAAGGAAGGTTATCTGTTCTTGGTGGAGCTGCATGAGCCTGTGAAAGACAAATGTGCTTCCTCCTCTTCCCCTTCCACTTCTAAAGACACATGGAAGGTGACATTATTTTCCACTGAGCTCCCAGACTCGCCTCTCCTTTGGGGTTACAAAGAAGGACAGCCAAATCAACATTTTATCACTGAACAAATATCCAAACAAATCCTCTGTTGTTTTGGCAGTTTAAACTTAAGACCTCACGCCTGCTAGGTAAGTGCTCTACCACTTGAGCCAAACACCCAGCAGTTTTTACTGGTTATGTTTTCAAACAGGGTCTTGAGCGTTTTGCCCAAGCAACCCTCAGACCATGATCATACTACTTTTAGCTTGGATTATAGGTGTATACCACCATGCCCAGACCAAACAAATTTCAAGAATATATTTCAGATTAAAAAAAAAAAGAAAAAGAAAAAAAGGTAGCAGTCCTGTAATCCTAGCCTCTCAGGAGGCTAAGATCTGAGGACTGCTTTTGGAAGTAGTAGAGTATATGCTTTGCCCTAGGTTCAGAGATCTAAACAAAACAGAAGCTACTAATATTTTCTTTTCAAGGTTACCAAGTTGTGAGATTATCTGACAAAGTTCTTTGGTTTTAAAACAATTCTCCTATGCCCCATCTTCCTACTCCAAGCAATGCATATGGAGACTTCAAGAGGAGCCGCTCAGGAGGGTGGCACTATTCTTCCTAGCCTCTCTACAGGGCAGTGCTAAACAGTTTACTGCTGAGTGAGCATCACTCTCTCGGGCAGCACTCACTGTGGTCAAACAGCAGTTCCTGGGTTGATTAAATTCAACTTC